AAGACCTACCTCGGGGAGTTGCTGTATTAAATTATTCAACACACATTAAGCAGTCAGAGCAGTGTCCGGCACATAGAACGTGCACAATCTTGCTACCATTAGTATAATTAGGACAGTTGTGTGGGAGGCCAGCCCACCACTCCTTGCCTGGGCCTGTGAATTCAGCAGGGCCTTGTAAGATGCCTGAACTTGGAAGGATGGGAAGGAAAGAAAACGTTGCCAGGCCTCTTTTTCTACCTATGTTTCGTGGTCATTCATTAGGCACCTGCTATGTACTGGATTAGTGGTTCTCAAAGTTGGAACCCCAGCTCTGCAGTACCAGCCTTTCCTCATCCCCAGATGTTCTGAAGGTGGGGCCAAGTAGTCTCTGTTTTAACAAACCCAACAGATGCTTCTGATGTGCTGGTGTAAGAACCAGTACCCCAGATGTAAAAACATAGCCACTCTGCTGGGCCGGGGAATGTGAACTTGAGTAAGACCCTGTCCCTGGCCTTCAGGAGCACACAGACTCCTTGGACAAACAGACTTGCAAACAAGAGCAACCAAGGGTGCTGAGAGGTCCAGTGGACACACAGAGCCACAAAGGACGGGGTGGCATTTTGAGAGGAGGGTTTGGAAAGGATTCCTAAAGAAGAAATGCTTGAACTGAGTCTTAGAAAGAAACTAGAACTCTTCTCGTTCTCAGTGAGGAGGGGGAGGACATTCATAGGAAGATGATGGGTGGACCCCACACAAAACTCAACTTTTCAACCTAGAGAGGAAGACTTTCTGCTTAGTGCATGGCTGCATCCCCAGCACCTAGGCATGCCGTGGTGACACCAGGAATGAACACAAAGCTCCTAAATTCCACATGTTTAATTTTCACTGAGTCACTTCTTTTCAGCATAAGATATTAAAACAAATCAACAAACCTACCTGTGAGTTTCTGCTTCACAGCACTCTATTCCTGAAAGAAATTAACTGATGACTGGATTGTTTAAGACACTGTGTCTTAGCACAGCTTGGCAGCATGAGGCAGGTTACCACTAAAGCTATGCTACCTCAGTAGCTCAGTGAGGCCCAGAGCACTTGCTTGGCACAAGATGTTTCTGAACCTGCAAGTCTGTCCAAGTGTGCGAATTATGGATGCTTCTCATAAACACACTGGTCTTCACAACAGAAACCATGACAGGTTCCTCATTAAAGTGTGATGAGCTGAGTACCCCAGACAGCGTGCTTCCTTCTGCTTTAGTTAAGGTCAGCTCTGCATGCGGAACGGCTGGGTCTCGGGCTCTTCCAGGCATGCTCTCAGGAGCCACCCTGTGCCAGCCGCTCGCTCTTCTTTCTTCTGGATGCCAGGCATGCTTCACAGTGTCAGAAACTTCCCCAAGGGCCCCTCTGCATCTCCACACTGACCCCAAGACCCGCTTCGTGGCCAATTTGAAAGATAGGACTTGTGCCAAATTAGAGCCCCGCACTGAGGTTCCCTTCCTCTCAGAGCCACTTCTGAGGGAGCCCTCCTGCGGGATTGCCTCCCAGCATCCCTGCGGACCCAGCCTGGCTTTGTGTAACCTGTTAATGACATCTCTGGCTAGCATGCTCTGGCCTCTGATCTGACAAAGCCTCAGAGGAGGGTGGCTCTAACCCGTGTTCCTCATCCAGTGCATCTAAGATCATAGGCACCATAAAGGACAGAGGGACCTGGAGACCATGGCAACCGCCTCTCACCCGTAGCCCTCTCCACTGTCTCCAAGGAGCAGGAAGCTTCCAGACACTGACCGTGCAAATGGTGAATGGAAGTTAGAACACATGGCATTCTTAAAACTGAAGTTGAAATGGGTTTTCCTTTACTTCTCTTATGCCAGATTTGATCTTTTAGATCAGGGGTGGGGAACGTTTTTTTCGAAGGGCCATTTGGATATTTATAAATATCATTCGAGGGCCATACAAGATTATCAACTTAAAAATTAGCCTGCTATATTTGGTTAAATATTTAACCCCTAATGCCTTGGTAGGGCCATACCAAATGATTTCACGGGCCTTGTATGGCCCTTGGACCAGATGTTCCCCACCCCTGTTTTAGATCAGTGGTTGCCAGCCTTTCAGATCTCACGGACCACTAGTGGCCCTCGGACCACCCATTGGCGACTGCTGTTTTAGATAGAATCGGGAAATAACCCCCCAAATTGACTTAGTAAATGAAGCCACAATTTTACTTTTTTCTCCATTTGATCTCTGAGTTTACTGCTGTGAGGAATACTTTATGGCTAAGCAAACAGCCTTCCCAGTATGGGAGAGCTATTGTCACGGAGCAGATTTGGCTGAAGGATGGCTTGAGTGTGCTTTAGAAGTATAGCCAATTTCATATCACAAAGCAGCGATTAGAGATGTTAATTATAAGTCACTTCTTGCTGAACCTCAGTTTTCACATCTTTAAAAAGAGGGAATGGAATGGGGCTACAAGTCTCTCCCAGGGTTAAGATTCTGTCAATTTTAGGTCTTCTCCGGAGCAGCATTAAAGATCTAAGGAGGAGGCAGGGAGAGCTGAGGGCAGAGAACAGGCCACCTTCGGTCTGCTCCACACACTCACACAGAGACACACTCATAGACACACACAGAGACACACACACTCGCACAGAGACACACTCACAGAGACACAATCACATACACTCAGAGACACACACTCAGAGACACACACTCACACAGACACACACTCACACAGACACACAATCACAGATACTCACACAGAGAACACATTCACACACAGACACACACACAGACAAACTCACACACACACACATTCACATCCTTCTTCACATGGCTCTCGTCATGACTGTATGCCCTTTGTGTCTAGGTGCACATATGAATTAGTTGTGTTACTAGTGATAAATAAGCAGAGAAAAAAAATATCATGTGAGTTTTATAATACCATATGATAATATTTTATATATACTTCAGTTTTGTGTTTTTTTAACTTTAGGAAAAAATGGATATGGTTTTGAATAAGAGTCTGTCATTTTTTAGCACGTCATGTTTACACATTACTTCATTTCTTTGTTCTGTTTATTTATCCGCAGACACATTCTCTGTGCCAATTACTGGGTTAGGCACAGGGATGGCAGAGGGACGATCGCTTGTGACGTGGTTATTCATTAAAATACCTTGAAAGTTTGACTTAATAAAGTTGAGATAGAAAGAGGAGCAGGGCCATGTAAGATCATCCATGAGCTTCCAGACAAGAATCATCACCTTTTAATAGACAGTTATTGCCCTGACTCCTACTGGCCCTCTCCGAACATGTAAACCTGTGGATAGACCATTGAGCTGGATGTTTTGAACTTGAAAACTTTGTTCTTTAAAGTGTATTTTTCTGTTCATCCAGTACTTCAATTTCCTATAAGATATGTTTTTCTTTATTTCAGTCCTTGCCCCAAGGGCATCCTTGGAATTGATATTTGTGAAGAGAATATATTTGTTAAGTACAAGTACCTTGTGCCTCCAGGACACTGCTGCTCCGAAATAGTCTGAAATTAGTTTTTACTACTCTGGCTTTGCATTAAAAGAAACCTCTAACAGCCATGTAGCATTTACTGCATCAGGAATCCTACCTGCTCCTCACCAGTTCCACGTTTCCTACTTCCCTCTCTTCATTTCGTTAGTGTGTCTCAGTCAGGGAGGAAAGGGCTACAGTTTATGAGTTAAATTAGTGGCTAGTGGTCAGTGTTGAAGGGGGTGTTGAATGAGTGTCATCACCAATGGGCAGGACATACATTCTTGGCCTTTTGAATGCATCTAAATTGGGCTGGCGATAGGGTGTAGAACTTGATAAACTACTCCAGGGTAGAGAAAAGTTTTGGTGAGTCAGTTCACACAGAAACCAGTGAAAACATTGATCCCACATTTCATCCTGAGCTACTGACTTCATTGATCTAAAGATTTGATTTGTTTTCTTTAACATTCTGTGTCCTCAATCATCACCATCTCAATGTATTTTACAAAAATGATTTTTCCAAAAGGTATTTCCAAGTTTAACTAAATGCAGGTAACTATGGAAGTTGAGGTTTGGTCTGCAGGGGGAGGGTGACAGCAAGTTCCAAGGGCCAGGGAACTCATTAGTAATGGTTTGAGAGAATGTGATGGCAAAGGAAGTTATGAGAGAGATAAACATCTATGGAACAGGTTAGTATTTTGTCAGGTTTGAAAACCAGAAGGAGATTTGAAAAACATTCAAGTTCATAGGAAGACAGCAGTTCTTGGTGGTTAAGGCTAATGTGAGGGTGCAACTGTGTTTGTAGACAAACTCCATCTTGTGCTGCTGGCTCTTATGAAGCTGAGAATGCAGTAATTAGCAAAGAAAGAGCCAAAAAATGAGGAAGAGTTAAAAAAAAATAGGATTTATGAACAGTACTAAGACATACACATCTAGGAGAGGTATACTGACATTTTAAATTGAAAATTAAGTCATGTTCAGTAGAAAATTAAGTCATGTTCATTTGCTAGACTTTGTGTAAGAAAAAAAAAATTAAAGACTATGAGACTCATTGCCTTTGATTTGAAGGAGTTAGAAAGTTAGAAAATATTTCACTTTCATAACTAAAATCATCACCTTGATAAGAGAATAAGATATACTTGTTTGTTTTAGGTAGGTGATAGGTGAAATGGTAATCACATAAACTATGATTATAGGTGAAATATCATGGCATAGAATTATAGACATTATGAACACAGAATCACTTTATTTTTCAGAATTGGATTTCTTAATAAGCTATCTCAGTTAATTGTAAAACAATAGTTATTGTTTGTCCTCAAACTTAGTGTCCCAATAAAAATTGTATACAAAACTACTTAGCAGTCTATTTTGTGTTAAATTTTTAAAAATTTTAAATAACTTCATTTGCTCTTGTAGCTACCAAATTTTTGGTGTATTATGAGAGAATTATTTTTTGCATGATTTGTCTAACAGCACTATTTGCTCACTGGTTCCAAGTAACTCTAACTCCTCTTATATTATTGTTTAACAGCTCGGCTCATCCTCTTCGGTGCCTTTTACATCTATTTTTTCTCAGCTTTCTGTGACGGTTGTGGTGCCTCTCATTATTGGACAGGTAAGGTCTCCAATTCCATCTGCTCTTTTCTTTACAGATCAAATTGTGAATTCTTAAAAAAAATTGTGAATTCTTACAAAATGTCAGGACAATTGAGGAAAAGATAGAGGACAAGACAGTTAAATGAAAATACAAGACTGTGCAACGCAGGTTTTATCAATCACAATATTCTCATCGTTTTATTTTTTTAGTTAATATCAATGTGCTTTAGATAGGAACACCTGCCCAGAATCTTGATTTTTTTTTTTTAACATTTATTATCCCTTCTTTAGAGCAATGCAGCTAGCTTGAAACATTTAGCAAACCGATACCATGTTCTGTGACCTCCGGTAAGGTCTCGGCATTTGGGGCCGTTGCTGGGAGCAAGCATCTGTCTTTGGCTGCTCAGAGCCTCCTCCAGCAGCAGGTATCCTATTTGTGATCGTGTAGTTAGTAAAATAAACATTTAATTCTATAAGCTCTTACATTGGATCCTAGAAAATTTACTTTCCTTTACCATTCTTATTGAATTGGACAATAGAATAAATTCGTACAAATTAATTTCTTATAACAAGGTCATAATAACCACGTAATTTAATTATAAGATATAGGTTTTAAAACAAGGTTGTTTTTCTACTCACAGGTAGCCACAGTAAAGAACAACAGAATTTAATGTGCTACTAAATGAATGAGTTTTAGGAAAGAATATATTTGGATGATCAAGGGCATAGACATGGGTTTAAGAACAAGTAGGTTCTAGACTTAGTTCTACTTCTTGTTTTCTGTGCGACCTTTGGCAAATCATTTGATCTCCTTAGTTCCAGATTCACAACTTATTAAATTGCATAAAAATAATAACACCCATCTTAAAAGGTATTCAAAGAAATAGGGATGCGTGTAAAGGTTTTGTCATTAAAGAGCCTGACACAGGTAAGTACTCCATAGCATCTGTCATCACCATCACTTCAAATTCCCTACAAATACTACACAGAAGGCAACTCTTTGAAATATTAACTATAAAAATGGTGTATGTATAGACATGTAGTATTTACAGGCTACCTTGGGTTAGGGTCCCTGGGAAACAGACACTGAGACCAAGGTTTCCATGCGGGGAAGTACCCCAGGGCTCAACACCTTCGGGAGAGTGAAGAAAGGACGGGATGAGGAGGAGGTGAACTGTGATGCAGTCCTGCGGTGGCCTCAACACGTCCCAGGGGTGCCCTGGAGCTGGGAGGACCCTTCAGACTGTCCTGCCTATCCTGATGCTCCTGTCCCTCCCACTCCCCATGGGAGGTGTGGCCTTGGGGGAATCTGCTCGCTCAGCAGAACTCCCAAAGGAGCTCAACTGAGATCTTTCAGCCAAGCAAGCAGCCCATTCCCGAAGGGATGGAATTGGGTGGCTCATCACAGCATCCGCTATACAGGCACTGATCTTTTTGTTTTATTTTAATTTTATACTTAGAAAAGGGACTGAATTTAGGATAAGGGGGGAAAATTTGAAAGCACTCAAAAATATAATTTAATTAAATATGACTGATACTTGAACAGTGCTGATCACAGAACAGGAACCTGAATAAATATTACTTCCCCCATCTACCTCTCAAACTTATTTGCCACATTTCCTACACTCTAGCCTTCCTGGATTTTTCTCAATTCCTGCTTAATTTTTCTGTTTAGAAGGTCTTTCTACCCACCGTACCAACCCAGCTCATTGTTCATTGACTCTTTAATTCATATCTTCTTTGAACCACCTATCTGATTTCCTGATTATCTGTATTGCAGCACCTCGTTTGATTTCTTTCTTGTTCTTTTTCACTACTTTCTTATCATTTGTTTCCCTGTTAACTGTGTGCCTCCTTGATTAGACTGTAATGAGTATAGGAACCATATTTGTTTTGCTTACCATTACATACCCAGAGCATAGGCCCCCAGTACATATGTGCTGAATGAATGAATGAGGGAGGGAGGGAATGAGTGAGAGTTCTATGATCAGTGAGGGAAATGCTGTGTCTTATAGAGACATAACAATACCTACCTACCCTCCTCAGATCTAGACAGTTTACACCGTGGATAGTATTAGTTTAAACCCATATTTATTTTCTTGGTTCTGAAAATAATTTCATTTACCAGCCAGGGCGCATATATTTTTCTCTTAGTGGATCTTGGAAATGTGTCTGTTAATAATAAATGTGTGGCTTAAAACATATGGACAAAGAAAATATCTTTGTCAGTCATTCAACTGTTTTTTTTTTTTAATGCAGATGGTTATATCATTTATATAATTAAGAATATTTAACCAAAGAGAATAATGAATTGTTAAATTTATTGTCCTTTACATGCTCAGTAGTAAGGTTATTAGAATAAATTATAAAGTAGTAAAGGTAGCCCAAAGTAGTGTAAGTGGTTTTTTAAAAGTACTCTAGATATCAAAGTGCCTATATTTACATCTACCGCCCCCTCCTATAATCTAGGATAACCGTCACACCCCAGCCTCCACCTGTAGAAACCACCTTGCCTCCTGCCTCCCCTACATCCTTCCTTCCATCCAGGAAGGCAGTGCCCCCATTTCTGCCTCAGAAATCTCATGCCTGGCATCTTCACATCTACACCTTCATCCTCTCTTGTCTAAATGCACCTCCCAAACTGTCTCTGCTGTGAGCCTCTTCCAGTTCCGACCCAAGGTCTTTGCTGCCTCCAGGGTGGTCCTGAGAACCAATCAGGTCAGTTTATTCCTCTCCTTAAAGCATCTGTTGGCTCCCTGCTGCCACTGCTGTGTGGCCCATACAGCCTTCATCCTCTGGCCCCAGCCCGCCTCTCCACAGGCATCTCCTGCCCCTTCATTTAGGCTCCTGTTCTGCCATATGCAGCCTCCCCCTCCCTAACCAGGCCCCTCATGGCCCCATGCCTTTCATCTTACTGTCCCATCTTTTCTGCCAGCAAACTCCTACTCATTCCTTAAGACTCGGTACACAGACCCCTCTGACGTGCAGTCCACCTGCTCTGACTCCCCATTTCCAGTTCCCCCAGGGTCTTGATGCATAATATTTATCAGGGGAGATTATACTTGATCTGTGAGCCTCCTGGAAGCAGAGACTCATTATAATAAGTATATTGAATAGCATACTCCACTATAGGGTGTGAGCTATATAAAAAGATTGCCTAAAGAAAACTATGAATTTACCTTCATGGAATCCCCAGCAGCATCCCCCCCCCCCCCCCCCACCCCGGTCTCCAGCTTTGCTAGAGAGAAACACATAGTTGGTCTCACCTTGCTTTAAATTCTTGAGTTCGAATTTAAAATGGCATACAACACTTCCTAGACGTCTCACTCGACTTCCTTATAGGGTTACTCCACCCTGTCCTATATTTTCAAGCCCCTTCCACTTCCCCTAACACTCTCCCACTCGCCCATTGCATTCAGGGCTCACTGCCTGCGCTTCTGCTTCTCAAACAGGCCAGCCTCCACCCTGCCTTAGACACTGCATCGTCAGTCCCTGTGCTTGGAACACCTCCCTCTCCCTCTCAGAAAGGAAAGACCTTTTCTCATCTCCACTCCACCCCCGCCTCGCTCGCTATTGTCCAGTATAAACCCCTGCATAACAGGGTAGTATCTGCTTCTTGTTTGTTTGTTGTTTTTGCTTTTTCTTTATCTCCTCTAACCAGACGGTGAGCTCCATGGACCAGGGACCCCTCAGAAAAGAAAAGTCATGTTCCTGCTCAGCCAGCAAACTAGCTTTTGAACATTTTATGCAAGTTGTTTGGGCTCTGTGTACCTGTGTTTTCAGCTGTAAACTGAGCAGGATAACATCTGTATGGCCTTTTTCATTACAACACTATGAAGTAATAGTGGGAAAGGATTTTCAAAAAGTTAAGTAGATGATGGGTGCTTATTGTATTCATTTATTATTGTTGTTTATACTTTTTACAAAATATACATTGGATTTGATTTTATATCCCCGACTATACATTTCAACAGAATATTAATGAAGAAACAAAATACTTTATGACAATTTATGGATTCAATGGAATAAAGGATAAAAATTGGAGAAACAATCTGAAGCCACCTTGAAGGAAAAATACATTTTAAAATTCAGACCTAACATGAAAAATTACCCACCTTATATCCCCACTCAAAAATCAGATAATAGATATAAACACCAGTAGGGGAAGGCAAGAAAATACCCTGGGGGGAAAACAAAGTGGAAACTGAAGTGATATATATTACATTTCTTGATTATCTCCAAATATGGGCACTTGTCACCTAAGGTGTGTTAGTCTCCCAGCTTGTGTCGTGCAGGTCCTGTAGTAATTAATATGTGTCTCAACTTGTTAGAAGCACAGGGATACAGGGATTCAAGTTGCCCTTTCACCGTTACTAGTACTTAATTTAAAATAAAGAAAATCAAAATACAGAAGGTGAAACAATAAAATAAAAAGCTGTGGAAGATTTTTCCCTTCTCTCTCCATAGGAAAATGCAAACAAGTTCATGAGAATTTGTGACTTGGCTTTGAATGCCTGAGTTTCTCTGAGCGCTGAGAGCAAACGAATGAGCACAGATTCTGAGGAAAGACACAACTGGCCCCCTCACCAGAGTGCCTTTGCCCTCATCTGCACTGTTGTTTTTCCCCAACAGAGGGAATTCTCGGGCACCCATCAGGTTGTGCTGACCATCCCAAGCAAAGCCTTATTTCCTGTAAGGTTTTAAACATTTCTGTAAGCAAAGAAGTTTGGAGAATTATAAAATGACATGGATTCTTGACACACAGAGAATGTATGGAAAGTATAAGTGGCTGAACTAAGAGAAGGCGAGGTTTCCTGGAGTTTATATCCAAATCAATCTTTAAGGCAATATCAGCTCTACTTCACCCAGTGGCTTATGAAGCATTTTCACAGTTTCCTGGCTACACAGACCAACACCTGCTTTGTGAATTTAATTTGAGAGGAAGATGGAAAAGCTCTATAGAGCCTGGCAAGGTATAAAGTGGTTTACTTAGAAAGCACAGATAAATATCACCGCAAGACTAAAAACAGCGAAGACGATCTGTTTTCCTCTAGGGGCGTTGCCTCACTTGTCGGTTTATCCAATCCCCAAGTGCTGGTTGTTTTCTTTATCAAGATTAAGTGTCCAGGTTCAAGCGCTGACATGTTTAGAAGAAAAGCATTTTAGGGAGGAGGACGCAGGACTCAGGAGCCTGCACTTGCCCCATTGAAGGAGTCATCCCCACTCTGAGCCTCTGAGCACTTAGTAATGAAGAAAGAGATGATTAGGCTAACAAAGTCCATCGCTGCTTAGATTAGAAACGTGCCTTGGCTTGAAAATGCCTTGGACTTTCAGGTTATACCTAATTCACATGTATTTGTTTATGTTGTCAGAGGGGCGATGGTAGGAAAGAAAGACACTTTTATGTTTGGCATTAGAATCATACATGCTGTAACCTACTGCAGAGACATCTTTGTGTTTTTAATCATTTTATTTTAAAACAAGATTGGAGGACAGCATCAGTTTCAGTAATGCTATGTCATTTCCATTTATTTTCCTTCCTGAATGAGTTGAGTTGTACTAAACTTGGGCAACTACCAGGTTTATGCTACCAAGCACAATAGATTATGAAGTGACCTTTTAAATGAAGTTCCTCTGTAGCCTTTGAATAAGCCACACCACCACCACCACCACACATACACACACTGTAACACATGAACGTGGGCCATCTGGGTACCTTGAACGCTATTATCCTAAATTTATACCATTCTAATACATCAGTGCCTAGCACTGTGTGACAGGCCGCTCTTATCTCTCCATACGTACTTCACCACACTGTGACATTAAAGAAAGAAACGAACACTACATACATTACTACGGTTTGGGATCACTTCTCAAAAACAACAGCAACATAATTTTTTATAAATTCAACTATAAATTTAATTACAAGATCTACTTTTTAAAAAAACTTAACCACTGTTTATACTTAAATGACACTTTCCCCTTCATCCCACTGCACCTGAGCTTCCTCTCTCTGTCTTGTGCCTGCGGTCAGCTTTCTGCCAGGACTCCATTTACTAAGACTGATTTCACTCACTGAGTCCTTGAGAACAGACATGGTTTATTGAACAGCCATTTGTTCACAGGTTTGTTCTGTGAGTGGTTTGTTTTGTTCCTGAGTACCTGTGAAGGTATGCCCCCTGGCAAATTAAGCCTTTTTAGTAACAGTAGAGGATGGCAGAACCCCATCAGCCTTGTCAGGAGAAGTCCCCTGACCTCATTATTGCTAATGGATCATGGTAATTCAGCCTGTTGTGAAGTCTCATGTTCAATTATGCAGGATAATGAGTGACTCAAATCGTAATATGTCTCAACTGGGGTCCGTATTATAGGGCTTGTTCAGCTTCTTTCAAAAGTGATGGGTTTTAAATAGTGGTTCAGTCTTCTGTCCCAATGAAAGTTATCACCAATATTCAGACTGTGCTGATTTTAAATATCTGATTTGGTTCTAAAATATGAGAGGATTGCTCTATAACTTTATATTTCACCGATCCTTTTTGAAGGAAAGTTAGGGCAGGTTTATTCATTGTTAAGTGTTAATTCTGAAATTCTAAAAGCATGCAAATGGCATTTGTCTTTGGATTCACAAAAACTCTAGATATTCAGAGTTTGAATTATTTAAGCTCCCACAACACATGCACTTTTGCTTTTCAAGCATGAGTTATAATTTAATTAAAAACTTCTGGTGCGTTGCTAACATTTTAAAAATTAATATGTTCCATGGATCACTTTCTATTATCTGCTGTCTTGAAATTCTTGAAGATGTCAGATTTTTAAGATTCCCAAAGTCGCACTCAAAATTGTCTGTTGAGGCAAAGGGGACTGTGATAATTACACACATCCATTAGGATGAACAGAGGAGATAAACTTTGGGGAGGCTTAATGGGCATGTCTCAGTGACAGCTAGCAAAGAGCATTTGGCATGATAAAGGATGGATTTGAATGCACTTGAAAACATACTCTTATTATGGACACCAGTGGAAGCTGCACCACAAATGTTAAATTCCCCAGAAGAAGATTGGGGTGGCAGGGATGCTTTGAAATCCACTGTGGCCATCATCCAAATTACTCTCTTTCCTTTCTGTCTTCCTGCTGTCAGAATCGTTTTGAGATGCCCAATCCCACTCCCTGAAAAGAGGCCGCCTGTTGATCTCTGTGTTTCAGATTGTCCGAAGGTACATCAAGGACTGGCTTGAAAGAACAAAGCCTCCTTTCGGTGCTATCAGCAGCAGCGTGCTCCTCATGATCATCTACACCACCTTCTGCGGCACGTTCTCCAACCCGAACATTGACCTGGATAAGTTCAGCCTTGTGGTCATACTGTTCATAAGTAAGTGGGACACGGGAGACCTTCGCTGTCCCCTCAATAGCAAAGCATAGCATGTGTGTTCCCTACATTCATTGTGAATGTTAATTTGATTAGAAAAGAATACTTAGTTTCATACTCTATGTGCTCAGTGACTTTACCAAGTGCATCTGTTTTTTACAAAGACATCAGTAATGATACGCACATGACTTACTCTCTTATGTCCTTTTATGTCTGATTTGCAAGGGTTGATGCCAGGTGAAAGAAGTCATAATATCTGTCCAATTCAAATGTTAAGTTGAGCACTTTTTGCCAATTTTATATTATTATAACTTGAGCTACTCTTATTCTTTATCATAAATCAAAAGTAGAATTTCTAATGTATACTATTATTTTATAACAGTTGGTTAAAATGTGAATATTTACATCATTTTCCTATTACGGTATACCCAAAGTAATATCATTTCATTGTAAGAAGTAGCAGACTATAAAATGCTTACCTACGAGGCTCAAAAATTCATGTATGTGTTATCTATAGCTGCTTTCAATTAGAAGGTAGAACAGAATAGTTGCCATAGAGACCATATGGCCCTCAAGCCTAAAGTATTTTTTTTTTAAAGATTTTTATTGATGTCAGAGAGGAAGGGAGAGGGAGAGAGAGAAACATCAATGATGAGAGAGAATCATCAATCGGCTGCCTCCTGCACACCCCACACTGGGGATGGAGCCAATAACCCGGGCATGTGCCCCGACAGGGAACTGAACCATGATCTCCTGGTTCATGGTTGACGCTCAACCACTGAGCCACGCAGGTCGGGCCCTAAAGTATTTTTTATGTGGCCTTTTAAGTAAACTTTGCTGACTTCTGTTCCAAACTAGAGATGACAGGAAGGGAGGGAGTGTCCCTATTCTTTAACCACAGAAGAGGCCAGTCTGGATTTAAAGGTCATTTAATCCTGGCAGTTTCCAACTTCTCAGCCTCTATCGAGGCACAGGCAGAGCTCAGGACAATATTTTAAAATGTAGTAGGTAATTAAAACATGAGCTGTTAAAAAAAAAAAAGAAATGAAAAGAAATCTTTTGTTCTATTTATCCTGCAATACCAACGACAACTTTTGGTAATTGTAATATCGAAGAATCTTATGTTATTAAAAATCAAGATGAGTTATTCCAAAATATTTATTATATCCTACCACACTTATGCTATTTGCTATAAATATTCATAGTATAAACCAGTTGGCTCTAAACTGAACAAATTTAATAACCAAATCTTAAATCAAACAGCGTTTTAGATTTGCCGTGAGTAGTAGACCTCATAGATTGTATCTGGGGATATCTTCAATAAGAACAGGCTGAGTCCCACTAATTTAAATGATTGTATTAGTTCAGCAATTTATGCTTGTTTGTTTTTCTATTTGAATTCCTATTAGTTTCAGATCAAACTAGGCATACCAGTAAATACGCTACAGCCACTGCTTTTATAGTGCTAATGTAGGCTCAATCCTTTTTTCTCCCCAGTATTTTCTATTCAGCTGGGCTTTATGCTTCTAACCTTCATCTTTTCAACAAGGTAAGTGATTTGGTTTCCTTGTTGGTTGTTTTCTAAATGAAGACGCATGCTCTTGACGTGACTTTTGCGCCACCATGCTGTTGCAGTTTTTCTCCTGCCCGCCTGGCCATCACTTTGCACCCCGCTCCTGCCGTCCTCCAGGGGAGACCTTAGGAAAGGGCCTGCCCGTGGCCCTTGTCTCCTCTGTCCACATCGTGTGCTTGGGAGCTCCTCCATTCGACTGGCTCGAGCTGGGAGCTGTCAGCTGATGAATGTAGAGCCCAGACCTGCCCTTCCGATGTCTGTCCTGAGTTCCAGCATGACTCATCCCTTACCATTTAGATAACTTCACCCTGTTGTCATCATAACACCTCACACTCAAGATGTTCAGAATGGGCTCCCTCTTTTCCTCCAACACTTTCTCTCTCATTTGTTTATTTATTGTTAATAGAACCACCATCCACAGAGGTACTCAGACTAGAATCCTTCACATCATTTTTTTTTTTTAATCTCTTGATCCTACTTCAGTAATATTTTTTGTGCTTCCAAAGCCACTTCCCTAATTCAGGATTTGTTGCCTCTTCTTGCCCTAGTCTATTGCAATGGCTATCTTACTAGTATTTTCACTTCCAGGCCTGACTTCTCAATGCATTTCTTACTGCTTCGAATCACTCAGAGTTCTGACAGTAGCACTCATGTTCCGAGAGCTTCATTGGTTACAGAGCCTGCAGAGTGAAGCTCACTTTGGGGGCTAAGGCAAGGCCAGTCTCATGAACCACCACTGGCAATCTTGCTGCCAAAGCTTTAGGTTGAGGTAAAGGCTTTGCTGCCCTTTGAAAAAACCTCCTATGTTCTCATCCCTTGCCTTTGCTAAGGCTGTCCCCATGTCAAAATTGGTCTCCATACCCTCGTTCATCTTCCCTGGTCTTAAAGGCTCACCTCTAATGCAGCTTCTTCCATCAGAAATTATGTAAGCCTTTGGTATGAGAAAGTTACCATAGTGAATGCCAGAAATAAATAATTCCAATCCTGCGTAAGTTATAGACTAGATATATGCATGGATAACTACCTGTCCTGAGTGGTACAGTAAGCCAACCTTAGTCCATTCAAAGAAGAAAGCACCTCCAAAGACAGTAATAGAGCATGGCTTCCTGGAAGAGATGGGGTTTGACCTGGGTCATGAAGCATGGCTAGTTATTCAGCAAACAGAGATGCAGAGAGGGGGTTCTTAGTGGGAAAAGAAACAACAATGCAGATGTGAACACACACACACCAAAACACGCTGGGACAATAAGAGTAGAGGGAGTTTAAAAATAATACTATTTGGAAAGGCAAGCTTGGGACAGATTGCCAGCCCCTTGAATGCCAGGTGATGCAGGGAGTTGCCACAAGGGAGGGGGCCGGGCTGTTGGTGAGGCCTGCTAGTGTCAGGGCAGCAGAGGGCTCAGGCCTCGCGTTAGGCAGCTGGCCCCATGGCACTCAGTATAGCAGGAGCTGATTGTAAACAGTCAATGAAGACTTACTGATGGGTGTAATCTGAAGCATTTTTACCAAGCCTGTGTTGTGATTTATGAGTAAGAGTAAATCAGGGGTGGGCAAACTTTTTGACTCGAGGGCCACAATGGGTTCTTAAACTGGACCGGAGGGCCGGAACAAAAGCATAGATGGAGTGTTTGTGTGAACTAAAATAAATTCAAAGTAAACATCATTACATAAAAGGGTACGGTCTTTTTTTTTTTTTTTAGTTTTATTAGTTTGCCCACGGCTGGCCTAGAGCCATTGAGTTACCAAGAAAGTGTGACTCATTTAGGTAAGTCTGAGAGTAGGAGCTATTTTAAAGGTGTGTTTTTTGTTGTTTTGTTTTGTTTTTTGTAAATGGCTTGTTAGGGCACCTCAGAAAAGACATGTGCCCTTCACTGGCTGTTTTGCTGGTCCTTGTGGCAGCGTGATCATCGGGCCACTCATCCTGTCCTATCAGACTAGGCAGGATGCCATGCCTGGGAGTGGGTGACTGACAAATTCTTCAAAAACACAGAATAGCCACTACTGAGGCTGCTGAAGGAGGACTGGTGGCATCACAAATAGTTGAATGAAAACTGAGGATTTTCAGCCTGAAGCAGACTGGACTTTCCTGAGGCCTGTGGTTTTGAGACACTTCTGTTCTGCCTTGTTCTGCCTTCACTCAAGTTCTGTTGGGTTTTGAATGTGCTCAGCCTGGTGTCAGGCATCACATTCTTTGACAAACAAGACTATGGGGTGGCTGTAATTGTGTTCCTGGGGAATGGGTGTGTATCCCCAAATATTCCATTAACATTTGGGGATTTGCAATTGGACAAGATTTAGTAGATGGTTTTCACTTTCACTTTTTTCTTCTTCTCATGCTGAGAGGCCTTATAACGCCTGGAGATTTTGTTGGAGGAATGAAAATTATCAACATTTAGTGAACCCTGCTCAGGGCCGGGCACTGTGCTAGGGATTGTGCATGAGTTATTCCCTGTAAGTCTGACAGCAAAGACTACGATCCCAGGCACTTTTGTTGCTGTTTTGCAGATGAGAACCCATGCTTAGAGCAGTTTAGTTTAGAAACTTACCCAAAATCAGGTGACAGCACACCTAGAATTGAAATCCACTGCCACCTGACATTTCCAAAAGCATTGCCCCATGCTTTTTCTACTGCACTAAATAAACTACCTCAATTTCTTTAAAAATTCATAACACTTGTTTTGGTTAGGGAATTTGTAGAGAATGTTTAACTGGATTCTTTAGGTTTACACAGAAACACAAACAAATTAATCAAAGACACCAAAAATTGGAACTAATACCCATTGGTTTATATGCTGTTGAATTTAATTTTCTTTTCCCACTTTTTGTTCCTTTCTACTTAAAATTGGTGAAAGTGGCCTGTGGGGCTTTTTTCTTATCAATTCAGTACATCTCAAACCAATCCAATTATCCAGACACAAAAGTCTCAGCATGGAAAGAAGTCTTTTTTGTACAGCATGTCACTGACCTCCGATGATGGCAGGTTAGCTTAAACCTGGGGAGACCCACCTAGAAAATCCAACTTCCCTGCACCACTCTGCTCCCCTGGTGAGCACCGCTTAGCCTGCCTGACAGGGCACCTGAGCCTCCTCTGCTCTGAGTATTTAAAATACTCGTGAGAGTTATGACTGTGTTCTCATCTCCCTGTCCTTAGAATAGTGTTCAGGTTATAAATTCCAACTCTAGAGCCAAACAGACCCGAGTTTCAACCCTGTTTAATAACTGTAACTGCTGTCAACTTCCCCAACTATAAAATGGAGACAGTGGTAGTACTGTCTCATCGGGGCATTTGGAGAATTAAATGAGGTGCACACAAAGCCCTCAGCATAACACCTAGTATATAGTAAGTGCTCAGTAAATGTTAGCTACTGCAGAATATTTATTATATCAAAATAACATATTATTTCAAGAACTAATTATGGAAGAGAGGGAATTAGCATTTCTGGTTTTGTAATACATTCTTTTGGACGTTTCTGTGTCACTGTTGCTAGGAAATGAGAGTTTATTCATCAAACCAAGACTCAGCCGTCCATGGTGACCTACTCTTTCTACAACTTTGGAAAGCTGTCAAAGTTGAGAAAAAAAAAATTGTTGAAAAGGCTTAGAAAAATAAAGCAGTCATTGGGAGCCTTTTAAAAATATATAAAAGACAGTTTGATAAGCAGATAACAGGATAGAAGCCTAGAATGTCACTAGAGTGACAAAAGAAAGCATTAACAAGAGGAGGAAGAAAACAAATATTCAAATATTTGTGCAGGTCCTTTAATCTTTATCAGTGCAGTTTCAATCCCAGGCCTCAATGGGCCTCTCCCTGTAGCCCTGGGAGGGAGGGGGGTGGGGAGCAGGGGAGGGCAGGAGGGAGAGAAGGAAGACAGCCCTGTGGTTAATGGTAAGTCTCTTACCATTTCAGAGATGAGGCAGCGGAGCCACAGAGCTCCGGAACTCTTTATGCTGCTCAGCTAATGACAGAGGAGGTCACCTCCTAAAATGAGTGAAAACAAAACAGGTCCAGAGGTCAACAAAGGAAAGCACCTCACGTAGACGTCCCCTCTAACAGCACTCACACAGGACCCTCTGAGGAGCTTTTCTGCTCCACATTCTGTGATTCTCCCTGTAAAACCTCTGACATGTTTTCCTTTGTAGGAACTGCAGAGGGAGGCAAACGATATGCTATGTGGGAAACGTGGATAGAAAGCTCTGTAAGAGCCAATAAAGAAACCGGCTGGGAAGGAAAGGAAATAAACATCCCAAGGGAGGCCAGAGAGATCAAAAGAATTATAAAAACAGAATAAAAAGAAAATATTAAAAAGACATAAGGTCAAATCAGAAAATAAATAGTAACGTGATTCAAAAATGTGAGCAGACACAATAGAGATGCTAATCGCTGAAAGTAGAGTCATTACCGCGTAAGTGAGGTGCACAGCATGGCTGAGGGCAGGTCACTTCACAAGAGAGCAGCTCTCACCCACTCCATTTAGCGGTGGTTTTTCGTTTGGGTGGTTTTCTTTGGCGATGTTTTTTTGTTTTTTTTTTAATAATTTTTCTTCTCGGAGGCAAACTTATCTCCAAGACGTGGGGCAGCCTACTTTCTAGTTGACTTGCAGTTGTGCTTCGGGTTTCCTTTGTGGAAAAAACAAGGCAATAATACTAGCTACCTTATGAGACTGTTGGGAGAAGGAGAAGTCCAGGCAGCGAAGTGCTTAGAAAACAATCAGCGTTCCCTGCTGTGGTTACTCGTCAGCATCAACATCGTCCTGAGTGGAGGGCTCAGTGAGCGGCGCTCTGTTGGTTTTCCCCAAGGCCCGTGATGTGAAGTGGTCTGTTACTTTCTGCATAGGTATAGGCCAGCCCTGTTTAAGGGGAACATTGTTTCTAACCTTAAACATTCCCCTTGTATTTACTGATCCTCCCTCCCGACTGCAGACCCTGTCAACAGAACCAAGGGGCAGTTTCGCCTGAGATCAGGCCTGTCACCGCCCAGTGGGGGCCGGCTGCGCCTGCTTCCTGGAGGAGAGGCGTTAGCGAGTCCCTGCAGACGTCCTCCTCAGCCACTGTATGCGCTGCTCTGGCCGGTGGCAGCCGCACCAGCTTAAGTCAGCGCCTTCTTGGCCAGAGAGCTCTGGACACACTGGGAATGTGCTCTAATCTGGAAAGGAACAAATACGAAGCAAAGCAAAGTTCCCCAAAGGAGAGGGTATTGTCAGATTCGCTGGGAAGAAAACCCAACTGCTTGGATCCAGATGCAGCAACCGCTGTATCTAAACGAGAGAGCAAAGAACTAGAAGGAAAGGCCTCCGCAGGGTTGCAGACCCAGGCATTGCTGGGCAGTCCACACTCGCCCAGCTGGTTACACTGCGTGGTTATGCTGCATGGTCTGCAGTCAAGGTGGCATGCATTCCCATACAGCTGGCTGTACATCTATCCCCAGTCTGCCTACTTCAAGCTTTTCTATGTCTTAGGTTCCTGGGCCTCCGTGTTACCTCCAATTCTCTATGGGTGAGTGAAGTGCCTCACCTTTTACAAAGAAAGTAAAATCTCTGATATAAATTGCTTCCATTTTCCCATTATCCACCTGGAAATTTTCTGTAGTTTTCACTCACCTTGTCATCTCTTGTTCCAGCTCAGACCAGAGAAAACAGCCCCTCGGAGGCTAACACCCGTCTCATCCTCTGGGGCCTCTCTGAGGACCTGGCCTCCCCCTTTGTCTCTCCTGCTGTATCTTCCCTCTCTAGGTGATCACATCCCCTCTTCTCCTCTTCACCAGATTTCCTGAGCACACTCTTCCCTCTCACCACTTCCAGTTCAGTGCACCTGGACATCAGTCCCAGGCTCCTCCCAGACAGCACTGGGCCCGCCCATCCCCCACTTCCCAGAATGCCTTGATGCCTTTCTCAGTCCCATATGCTCAAAGCTTCTCATCTCTTCGATCCCTCCTCCTTTGACAAAGCAACAGGAACAGTAAAATAACTAGCAAGTACTAAACACCGCAGCGTGCCAGATTCTAAACAAACACTGGCGTTTATCCTGAAGGTGGCCCTCAGAAGCAGGCACTGTCATCCCCATGTTATGTCCAAGCAGAGGATGGTCTGAGTTTAAGTTCTTGTGCATTTGCCCCAAAAGCCTGTGCTCTTAAGCTGTTGGGAGGCAACATTTATTTCATAGAGGCCAACACTTGTCAAGTTCTTGTAAATCTGTCTTCATGTCTCGTCCCACCACCTCCTGCCCCCCCACCCCCACCCCCCGTGCTTCTTCCTGGGTCACCTCGTCATCTTCGGTCTCACACCACGCTGTGTGATTACTCCTCTTCATCCTTCTGCCCCACTTACCAAGGCCACATTCCTTGTCACAAGCCAGTGTCCCTGCGCACACTCAGCCTGGAGAGCCTACACGTGTGTCTGTCTGTTCTTCAAAAGCCAGCCCACTAGCTGTTTCCTTCAGGAAAGTTCTTTGTGCTCCATCACCACCCACTCCCCTGCCAAGCTTGAGAGAAACCTGGCCCCACTCCGAATCACGCCCCCACCACCACCACTCTCGTTCTCTTTCTCTTTTATGGAGTATATACTGTCTTCCTTTCCTCCATGCTCACGGGACCTTATGGGGCTCCTTTCACATTTGGCCTCCATGATGAATGAGGGGATCAAGGACCATGTGGGCCATGTAGTACAATGTTTACAGAATAAGTGTGGGCCCTAGCCAGTTTGCATCAGTGGATAGAGCTTCAGTCCGCAGACTGAAGGGTCCTGGGTTCAATTCTGGTCAAGGGCATGTACCTCAGTTGCAGGCTCAATCCCTGGCCCTGGTTGGGTGGGGAGGGGGGCCACACATGCAGGAGGCAAACAATCCATGTGTCTCTCTCACATCAATGTTTCTCTCTCTCTGTCTCTCTCCCTCCATTACACTCTCTCTAAAAATGAATGGAAAAATATCCTCAGGTGAGGATTAACACAAAAAAATTAATAAAAAAAATTAAACAATAAGAATGGTATCACAATATAAATATGAGGATGAAATGTAGGAATGGCAAGGCAATCTTATTATCTCAAGTGACATATATCCACAGAGGATTCTCAGCTGAGGGGGACACCAAAAATGCAGTTTGGAAAGTTGTTATCAGAAAAAGAGCTGGAGATAAGACCGTTTAGGAAGCATGAGCACATGGGGCGTTTCAGAGGCGATTAAATGCTGTCAACCTGTGAACTGGGGACAGGGAGGAGGCGCAGGAGACGGCCCTTCTCCCTCCAGTGAGTGTTTCACAGAGAAAACAGGATGTGGGGACCTGTTTAGGGAAGATTGCTCTTCCAACGAAGTCATAGATGAGGCTGAGGTTACTAAAGGAAATGGTGGGCTCTCTTTTTTTGGAGATCCTTAAAAATTGGATAGAGTGCTACATCTGCAGTTGTATGCACGCCGCCGGGTCTAGCGCGTCTTTCCATTTGCTGACTCTTGTCTGGGTCCAGGGCAGGGGATGAACAGACTCACTGTAGCTTCACACCCTCATTCTTCAGGAAGGAATCGTCTCTAACATGCCAAGGACACAATGATAATAATGACATTTCTAGCCTCTGTCCTGGTCTCTAAATTTCTATAATCTGAATATGATGTTCACCAGTACTGACCCCCATACCATTTAATGGCTTTTGGCTAAGTGAGGGTCTTTTCATGCTTAACATACTATATAGCAATAGTAGAACATAGCAGTTAAGAGTGTAGGCACAGGAGCCAGACTTAACTTAAATCCTAGCTTTGTCATGACCCGGCTGTGGAGCCCTGGGTCACATGCGCCTTCTCTGCCTCAGTTTCTCAGCTGTGAGCAAGGATGGATTGGTATGTTTTGCAGAGACCTGAGAAGAGGCTTGATATATGGGATAATGTTTTACTAAAACCTATGATGTTGAATCTTTGTTCATACCATGAACTTCTCAAAGGACCAGTTTGTTATTGAGTGAGCAGTTTTGCAGACACAATGACTCTTTCAAGCCAACAGGTTGCTATCAGGTGACAGCCTAGGCAGTGCCTCCCGGCATGACTTCCTTGGAGTCCTGCGCCACCACTGATTACATGTGTGTTCTTAAGAGACCTCCACCACACCATTTTAAAACTATCCCCCTTCCAAGGATAAGTGACTCAGAAATGATTCTCTGTAAAGACATTCAGACATTTGGGCATAGAATGGCTTCTGTCTCCAGGATTGGTTAAAGGGATGTCAACACGAAGGTGGGTACTACGTTTGATTTAGGATATGTTAAATAGTCTGTTAATGAAAGTATTTGTAAAGCACTTTTTTCTCTTGCCCCTAGGAATAATTCCGGTTTCACACCAGCAGACACTGTGGCTATCATTTTCTGTTCTACACACAAATCCCTCACTTTGGGTAAGTGATTCACAGACTCACAAACTAGTTTAGCCCTCAGATAGTTACATATTACGAGTGTGAGATTTAAGCAGTGCTTCAAAGTAAATGGAATGGGGTATCATCCATTTGGTTAAAGGACAATAGCAAAATGAGAATGGGCTGCTGCTTTGAAATATTATTATACGATTGAACCAGTTTTGGAGGGCCTACGGTTAAAAATGTAGGATCTAGCTTAATTTGTAAGGTTTTTGATTCTCATAAAAGGTTTTCAATGTGGAATGTTAATGTTAAAAGCTGGAAATGGGGGTGCACAGTGGGCAAAAACTCAGCTTTGGAAGGCTCTAGAGTTGTCCCTAAAAAATATTAACTTATTTTCTGGAAGCTTGGGGCAAGGTGGAAATAACATTATTTCTCTAATTGGATATTGACATTAATTTGAAGTTCATTTCAGAATGTTATGTTGCTTCGATAAAGAAACACATTATCATTATTATTAACTCAATCTGATTAGCATCTAAAGTGAAATAAGTATTTATTTAATAGACAAAAATAGATCAAGAAGGAAAATGCTGTTTTCTACTTAGCTTTATCCAGTTTAGTGGCATTATCCCAATAACGTGTTTAGGTATCCAGAATTCATGTTTCTGGTCATTAAAAGTCATTAAGTAATCAGAACCTTCACTGAAATATGCATCACTCATAAACTCTTTGGGCTAATAGACACACTGTGGCAAAAACTCGTAGGAAAACTTTTCATTTTGGCTCGTGACTCACTGAAGAAAAGGAAGAATCATGACATGGCTGTGAGTCTTCTCATGTTCAAGTTCAGTCTGAACCTAGAAAACAAAGACATTTCATCATGTTTTTGGTAATCCCCCCTCTCATATTTGCCTGACACTCTCGCCAAGTTTGGAAAGTGATTTAGAAATTGGACAAACTCTTTGAGGAGCAGTTGCTATCTAGGGGTGGCAGCTAATTTGAATAAATATACTGTTCATACATTGTAGCATGTTTGGTAGGTTTTCTTTATAATCAACATCAAACTGAAAGCCACATTCCAGTCCTGATTTTGTGACCATGGACAAATCACTTAACCTCCTGAACCTCAGCTTTCCCATCTGTAAAATGGGACGGTATAATACTTTGTAAGGCAATTGTAAAGGTCAGAATTAAATTTGTTAAGTAGCTAGCACAGTGCTTATATGTAACGGCTAGTCAGTTCATGCCAGAATGTATGTAAATTGCTATGGGTTAAATGAGATAGCCCGGAAGAGCTAGTGTGCTGCCTGGCACCTAGCAGGTACTCTTTAAGCAGTAGCTATTGTTGCTAGTTACTTTTAACTGTATTAGTTATGACTGTGTTACCATTCCCAGTCTGTCTTGTAGATTTTCATGTAACAGGTGTCGTTTAATTGTTGACCTCAAAGAAACCATCTGACACTTTTTTCCCCCTGTGGATATTGTGATGTGATGTCTGGATTTCCCGGTCTCCTAAAAAGTAAGGGGTTGTTATAAAGGTCGGGAGTCCAGAGGTGGGTGCCCGCAAATGTCTCAGATGTCCCAACTCGGGGTCTCCTGAGCCTGTGTCCTTCAAGCAGATGCTGAGCCACAGCCTTTCTACAGGGGCCTTTAGACCCGCCCCTCCCAATGGGGCATTTTTTGGTTTCTCCATGATCTTCTGGGCTGGAGTTGGCTGTGTTGAATGATGAACTCTACCCTCAAAAGCACACAATCAGCATCCTCTTCTTTTCCATAAGCAAAACTCCTGTTCACTCTTTCTTTCTGTCTCTTCTTTCCATAATCCCAGAGCCATACTCTCTGTTCCTGATGCTTTCTGAAAGCTAATTTTCAGACAAACAGGTAGGTGCTCTGAACACCAATCAGATGTAGCTGTCTGTTGAAAAGCGTTGGGGGAACTTGGACTTGTTTGCTTTTGTAGTGTCCTCTCCTGAAACAGGTACTTAGATTCTCCAATACAATACTAGTGTAGTTACCTAAGTAACCATGGAGTGTAAATCCTTAGTTACTTCTGTAACACGATAGACTCAATCTCTCTTGGAACTATAAAACCTAAATACTCATCCTGACTCTTCCTCTGGTACCTTCCAGGCCTGTTTCCTTAGCTCTTAGATTAGAGACTTTTAGTTCCAACTCGACTATTTTATCATGCCTTGATCATACCTGGCTAGCATTTAAAAAAATGGCCTCTCTGCTGCTTCCCTTGTCTCAGGAGCCCCTTTATTTTCCCATATAGCTAGGGGGTGTTTGGATCCTATTAGTAGAATGGCCTTGCTACACCCTGTGTCTGTTTTCACAAGATGGAGTACATATTCCCCTCTCCTGGTGCCCGACATCACTGGTACAGAGGATGTGTCACAATGGTGGCCTAATGCAACTTCTATCTGCATGGAAATAAAAGAACATCACACTAAGTATGAGCAATTCATATTTCAGAACCAAGGAGGAAATTTCAGATAATTTCACTTGGAGCTATACCTTCACCTCACACACACAGCTAAAATACAACAGATTATATCTACTTGGTATTTAGAATATATATCTATACCTTTGGCAGTCACTGTCATAGTATTCTCCAAGTGGTTTTATACATACACACCCCCGCACACACACTCAGTATCTCAAATAGAATACTTATGAATACCATTCATTATTACATCCAGTGTTTGTATTTAAGAATAAATCATTGCAGTCCAAGTGGTACCCATGTAACTACAGAACCAAAGGTGAAAACTCTTGCGTGAGAAGCCTTCTGAAAGCTGTCTTGTATGTACACTCTCGATTTATTTTATTGTTCTTGCTCTTGCCCTGTCTCGATCTCCTCCATGTGCTCGCACCTACACACATGCTGAATTTGATTCATTGCTTTTATTAGTGCATTTGCCATTGATTGATTAGTTCTTCGTATTAGTACTTTTTCTATTGATTGATTGCAGATGAAGTGACTATTTGACCTTTAATTATGAGGCTTCCTATTGAAAATGACATTGAGCTATGGCTTCACATAATCCATCTGGAAAGCCTGACATGATGCCATTCCCCAGAGTTTGTTGAAGAAGCAAGAGGAGGCTCCGGAGGAAGCACAGACTATCGGGCTCCGTCGGAAACAATACCACCGCTTGTCCGTGTGCTCCCGTGGTTTCGGCTCAGGGCTGCAGATAATTTTACATTTTGCCAGGAGCATCCCTTGCTGTGGGCTGCCCTAAAGGCCATGAACTCTCCCAGAGCCCTCTCCAGCTTGACGCCGATGTTCGTACAGTAACCAGAGCTGTTTTACACAGCAGAGACCGAGAGCAGCTCATGCCCTAGTTAACATGGCTGTGCGCACAGTGGGTCAATAGATCGCATCAAGAAAGAAATTCGATCCCAGGTGTCCTGTGAAATTAGTGTTTTATTTGTCTTTTCTCTTGAGTATTCAAGTCACTTATGTTATCTAGAGCTCTAATAGCCGTAGGAAACTTCCTCACCATACCTGGAAAGAGAATGTTTCAGGGTGTTTGAGATCCTTCAGTGAAGTGTATGCTTGGATTCGTTTTTAATGTTTTTAAATGGCAAAATGAAAGCATATATTCTGAGAACATGTCAACTGACAATCGGCAGTCCGGTGTGAGGTTCTGCTTGTTTCTTATTTGCAAAAGCATGTCTCAGTGGAAAGAATGCTATGTAAATGTTAAGTAGAGTGTCATGACCAACACTTATTGCAAGTCCAGTATATGTCTTACCATCTATACCAGTGATGGCGAACCTTTTGAGCTCGGCGTGTCAGCATTTTGAAAAACCCTAACTTAACTCTGGTGCCGTGTCACATATAGAAATTTTTTTGATATTTGCAACCATAGTAAAACAAAGACTTATATTTTTGATATTTATTTTATATATTTAAATTCCATTTAACAAAGAAAAATCAACCAAAAAAATGAGTTCACGTGTCACCTCTGACACGCATGTCATAGGTTTGCCATCACTGATCTATACACTCTTTGTACAAAGGAGAATCAAGCAGCTCTTCCTCCCGACATTTATACTCCATCATGAGTCTGTAGCTGAGCTGTGACCAGAAACTATGCACTAAGCAAAAGGAATATAGCTTTTCTGTAGACATCGGCTTCTGGAAAGAGTAGAAAGAACCACAGACCTGAGTCTAGTCAGGATCCAAGTTCCGGTTCTCTCACAGCAGCTGGACCACATCCCTGCATTGCTGTGGGCCTCGGTATCCTTGGCTGTGAAATGAGCAGGTGGCAATGAGCTTGAGGTTCCTTCCAGTTTCAGGTGTCTGAGTCTGTGCTCAGCTGCTGGGGTCCAGCCCCAGTGGGTCCAGGGGTTCCCCAAAGGTGTGGACGGAGTCGGCGAAGAAGGAATGACACGGAGACAGAGTTCAGTTGATCAGCAGCCTAGCCAGGATCTCTAGCCAAGTTCTGGTCAGGATCTCCAGCGAAGTCTGGTTAGGATCTCCAGCCAGGTTCTGTGTCCATGTTCTCTTGCTAGGTTCTCCAGCCAGGTTCTCCAGGTTCTCCAGCCAGGTTCTGTAGCCATGTTCCCTCGCTAGGTTCTCCAGCCAGGTTCTGTCCAGGTTCTCCAGCCAGATTCAGTCACCAGGTTCTAGTCAGGTTCTCTTGCCATGTTCTATCCAGGTTCTGTAGCCGGGTTCTGTCTCTAGGTTCTTCAGCCAGGTTCTCTCGCTAGGTTCTGTCTCTAGGTTCTGTGGCCAGTTTCTGTCCAGGATCTTTTGCTATGTTCTCTCCAGCGAAGTTCTTCTGTCTCTAGGTTCTGTGTAGGTTCTGTGTCTAGGTTCTGAGTCCTGTTGTCTTGTTACACTGTATTTATACCAGTTGATTCCAATCCTATCAATCTCTATTCCAAAGGTTAGGGCATTTCTTATCTCCATTCCAGGGAGTAAAGATTATGTAGCTTAAGCATGATTGTTCGTAGTTAAAGTGATTAATTACCCGCCTGACACTTAGTTAAGGGGTTTTATTCCCTCCCTAACTTCAGGGGAAAAT